CCTAGGTCTTTGTCTCATTTGCATGCACATCATTCGTCTCTGAATGCCTTTTTTCTTTCCCTGTCCTATTTTCCTATCAATGCTATTTCTTGTTCATTACTCTTTGTAAACGTTACCGTTTTTGGTTTAAATTATCAACGAGTATCCATGTAAAGGCAAAATAGCATCAACTTTGATAGTAGTAGATGATGTTACAGTGAGATATAATAAAATAATTAAATGAAGATGCAACAATTTATATTGGTTTCTAGCCAACGAAATTGAATATAATGCATAATATGTGTGAATAATATATTGCAATCTATCTGATTGATTAACTATAATAAGTTATCGGCACATGATTCTTTATGAAGCCTCTCTCTTGCAATAGAAGACTACTATTTAGAAAATAATCCAGACGGATCAACAGCTCATAGTATATCTGTTATTGATTTGTGTTAAAACTGGAAGCCTTCAAAGTTTTTAGTAATATTTTACCTGGAAATGAAGAGGTTGTCCAAAGTTACACAAAGGTTTCATCGGAATTCATCTCTTTAAAAATAAAACATGTTGCTTAAATAAATCGATTCTCAAAGAACATCTCAAAGACTATATTCATATTAGAAGATAGCTTCAAGAAGCGTAATCTGAAAAACTCGAATAGAAAGTAATAGTCTTCTATTGTGGAAGGGATTCTAATCGATTTCGATGATAAAACATTAATTATAGTTGTTCTATGTTCATAATATTACTTGATTAAGTTTTCTTTAAATAATAATTGATTATAATCACAATGATTTTGGTTTTTTTTTACGTCCCGATCTTTTTTGACACATTACCGGTTGCTCGCTTTTGGTGTTCTGTTTTTATGAATATGCAACCTCACACAAAAGCACTCTTTTCTCTTCCTTTTGGGCGGGAAAATTTTTCGAAAACATTTTGCTGTTTGGGGAAATTTTTTATTTTTGCAGCAGATTCTGCACCACTGGTGCTATCAACACATGCACCCACTTGCACACCCACACCCAAATGACGATGAACCATGCCTGAGAAAACCCAGGAATTGAAATTTTTCCAGCTAGAAATAAAAGTCAAGTTATTGGAAAAAGTGATGTACCTTTTCAAAAAATGAGTAAAAAATTAGGATCAGAAAAAAAACCATCCGTATTTTTAGGATTTCTCTTCAGAAATGCATTCGATTCAGTAAAAAGTTTAGAAAGTAAATAGCTCATCACTCTCTACAACATACCAAAGAATCAGCCAGTGGTGAGATATCACTCCATCATTGATGTTTGTGCCACTTAGAAACTCACTCGTATAATACTTAAGTGTTACAAAAACAAAGTAGCTTAGGAAGTGAGTCCGCTTCTATGTGTTCAATATTCTTCGTTTAACTTTCCTCCTTGACTGCCAACAAAAATAAATCTGATTAGTTTTTGTAGGCAAAATAATTTGAATTTCTTTTTCTCTTAATTAATAGTCATAATTGGCATGGAGATGACATATGTATATACATGGATATATATGCTTGTATCATAAAGAAATGAAATAGTTTAACAGCTAGTCATAGACGAACTACGGCAACAATAGATGCATAAGACGCTTTATTTTGAGGATATGAATGTGGTTATACACGAACTGAATACCCATTACCTCAAGTTACAATAAATTAATTCAGTATATTGTGTTTTGTTAAATTTAAAGTCCTTGAAAATATTTGCTTTATTTCTAGTAGTGTAAAAACCGAATGCATGAAATTAGCAAATTGTAGAAATCAATCCTCGATTACAAAAAAAATGGTGTGAGTTTGAAAGAAGAGAATACCAAAAGCCACAGTAACATCCCATCTTGTATCCTTTGCCATCTTTAACTTGGACACTTTCTACAGATATATGGTTCGGAATGACATGATCTCGAACAAAGAAAGTACATAAGTCGCAATAACAACGCATTTGAGAACAGTCAATATATGCACACACTTGAGGGTGTGTGGGTGTGGGTAGATGTGGCTGTGACTGTTGGTGGGCATGAAGAAAAGACCCACACCAACACTCACACACCCATACCCGGCATTCTCTTATTTGTCTATTCACTATTGTCATGAGGTCGACCAAGATAGCAACTCTCTAATCTGTGGATCTATAAGGCTCTATGTATTCAAACATTGTTTATGCTAACTACTACGATGATAAAACCGGTGATACCATAGATGGCAAATACAAGAAGGACCGTCGTTTATTGTATACTGCTTCCTCAATAAATAAGACTATTGCTCATCGTCTCAATAGTGATCTCTATTTCGATTCTAGTTTAGATAAAAGAACTCTCACTCATCTTTTTTCTGTCATTGAATTTCTACCGTCACAGCCAAATCGATTAATTATACGAGGTACGCTTCAACAGAGATTGTGAGTGTGTGGGTATGGGTGCGAGTGACTATGAGTATTAGTCATTATCTACCTGACAACCGGCATCCACACCAAATACATTAGCTGATCAAACATATGAAGCATGAAATCCATTTAATGAATTCCATTGAAGATGTAGAGAAGCACTTCGATGATAATCATCTGAAGCATATGATGCATGTTTTGAAAAATGATGTATACCACCATCAGGTGGAACACAATCGATAATATTGGAGAAGTATTCATTAGGTAATGGTTATCGGAATAAGAGGCATACACTGCTGGTGATAAGAATTACTTTAAAAGAAAATAAGTATTTGTTTATTTAAATAAGTGTTTTTTTTGAAAAATTTACGATTGTATTGGATAATATGCAAGTAATGTTGTTGAAGGAGTTTGTTGTGGATATATAATATTATGATGAATACGTTGTGGATGGATTGAAATATGTGGAACAACAGATGTTGTTGCTGCTACTGCTAGTGTTGTTCCTGTAGGTGGAAATATAAAAAATTGTACTTACTGGTACAATTTGAGATGAAAGAGTTTGACGATCAAATTATTCATCTTTAGATATTACAGTCAACATTAAATTTAGAAAACTTAACAATCATTTGCTTCTAGGGGTGTTTGATGATGATAATGCATCACTGCTGATGTGTTATCTTTTATTGTTATTATTATTCCATCATGATAACTGAGTATTAATATGTTCTGAAATAAAATATAGAAATTTAAGATGTTTAAATTTCATAAAAAGAAATAAAAAGACAAACTTGAATGTTGTTTTATTTGAATCCAGTAGTTTGTCACTTTCCAATGTTATATTAGCTGATTGTGTTCAAAGAATAGTTTATGGCAATGAGAATTGTCCAGTTGATTGCATTTTCATAACAAATGGTCCTGTTTTAAGTAGTACAGCAGATTGTTGTTATGATGATATTATTGAAAAATTAGCTGCATCATATTTATCAACATCATTTGAATTTTAAACATTTTTGTTATATTCAGATGTTTTTGTTAATCTTGAGTCTACATCTCTTCATCTAATGTTTGAGACGATGAATAATTAGTTGCTGACATTGATGATGTAGATGTTAAGTTATAGATATATACAGATGTGATGCTTTAAGTTGTTTTTCTTCACGCCAATACACTTGCATCTTTATACAACATGTATGATATATAGAAGATAGTTAATGTTTAACATATTTTTTCGTTCGTTCAGCATTATTACCGTTAAACTATATATAGAAAAGTAAAATCTATGATCGGTGATTTCCATGTTTATTACAAAATTATCATCCTATACAAACGTTCTTGTAACAATTGTGTAAATCGGCACATGCGTGTAAGCATGACGTAAGTCAAAGAGAAATATGTATATACTTTTAAAAATGATGATTCAGC